CCGGTAGCTGCAGGCTCTCGGTGGGGCACTGCAGCACCGGTGTCCGGCCACGCTGAGCGTCTGCACCGTTGGGATTTCCAATCTCCACTGGGGTTTAGGCATTTCTCTTAAGACTTCCATTATGTTTCTACTAAAACTCTATCAGATTTCTGTTACAATTAAGCCAGGTTGATGTGTTAAGCCCAATGTCTACAGCCCCCAGCCGGCAGCATCGCTGGGGCAGCAGCAGGCAGGGGTTCATCACAGCCCGCTCCTGCCCTGAGCTGTGGGGCTGAGCACGGCCCCGGGAGGGACGGACCCAGGAGGAACAGGCTGGCAGCAGGCAGGGAGCAGCGACCGCCACCATAAACGCTCCTCGCCCAGGACCACGCAGGGAGTGACGCCGAAGGTGGGCCTGGGGCTCCCGCATCCCTCTCCAAAGCCCCATCTGTTCACCAGGAGCCAGAGGGGGTTTGCACAAGCAAACGAGGTGCCCCCGGCAATAAGGCAGCCCCGTGGTCGCTCTCGGTGGGCCTGAGCCCGCCCCAGCCCTCCTACCTGCCCTGAACACCTCAGCTCACACACTGCTTTCCTCTGTAAAACATTTGCTCAGACCTTTTCCACCACTCGCTGGATGGGGCGGTAGCGAAAGGGTCGTGGTTGTATAATTCATCAATAAATTATCTATACTAAAAATGCCTGGTGGCTTCTGCTGATTTCCACAGCCCATTTTTGCCATTGAATGGTCTGACAGGGCGCGATTCCCCCCACGCCTCTGTGCATCTGCTGCACCCGGAGGTTCTCTCTGCCCCGGGATCGTCTCTGGCTGCAGCATGCTCCCCCACCACCCGTCACAGTAACACCCAGAGCGGGTGGGCCGCTGCCGTAACTTGCTAGAGCAAGGGGGTCCCCTCGAACGGCGCAAAAGATGCTCAACAGCCCCATGAACAGGAAAGTTCACGTGAGATAACGAAGCAGCAGCAGTTCCTGCCCTGGTGGGCAAGCGGGAAGCACCTGCAGGCGCAGCAGAGGGGGGCTACGGGGATTTCCCACCTGTATTTACCCCTCGGAGATAAGGAAAGGGCCACGTTCTCTCACAGCAATGAATTTTAAGGCACACGCAGCGCTGGTGCAGGCGGCTCTCCTTTGGGTCACCCACCCGAAGGGGTGATGGGGCTGGGAGCCGGGCGGGAGACCTCCAGCCCACGGCGATGCCCGGGGTCTTGGGTGCCCCTGGGGGTGACCGTGCCCCCCTCCTGCCCGCCAGCCCTGGGAGGGACGCTCCGGCCGGGGCAGCGAGGGTCAGTCCCCGGGTTTGGCCGAGGTCACCCCACTGCAGCCCTGACCGTGGGTCTGGGGTCCCCCGGGCTCACAGGTGCCGGGACACGGCACACGCGTGGGGACCCACAGCCGGTCCCCAGCTACCCGCCGCGGAGGGGACGAGGAGGGCCACGGGGGATAGGGGTGGCCCGGGGGGCTGTGCAGGGTGGCGGCCATCCCCATCCCCATCCCTCCCCTCCTGGGACCAGCAGCCCCGACTCCACATCCCCGGCCCAGCCTGATTATCCCCAATCCACATCCCAGCCGGCGGATAAACAAAGCGTGTCTGGGTCCCCCCAGCAGACCCTCCCCTGGGCCGCTTACATATTCCGACAGCGTTTCACACTGGGACCATCCCGTCATTAGAGGGTCATTTGCAGGAGCTGTCAAGGGTGGGCAGGGAGGCGTGGGGCTAACCCCTGGCAGGAGGCAGACACACACACAGAGAAATCTGGAGATCTTGGTGAAATAAAATTAAATCTTTTTTTTTCTTTCTTTCTTTGCCTCTTCCTCCGCACGTTTGCTACTCCCTCTCAAAAACGGTT